GGGGGGGGGGGGGGAAGAGGGGCGGCCGTAAGATCCAACCAAGTGCAGGTGCGGAAGAGAGACCGAGAGAGAGAGAGGAAGGGAGAGGGACAGGCAGGGGCGGCAGACAGGCGCATGTTCACTTGCGCGGCGCACATGGATCCACCCGCAGACAACCAGATCCTGCGAGGAGACATATTCAAACAGGGACAGCTCGTTCAGCGTCACACACTGGTCCTGGGTGCCCTCCTGCTCGGGGAAGATCATGTGCGTCACCCGGAGAGGGGGGCCACCATGGTTGGACCCTGGAGCCGGCAGCGCCGACGCCGGGAGCGCCAGCACCGCACAGGACTCGATGCCGGCCGACAGCTGCGCCTGAGAGAACGCCTCAAACTGCCGGATCAGGTCCTCCGGCAGGGTGACCGCCACCGGGCCATCGGCCGGAGGGGGTGCCGTGGCGTAGGATGCGGCCGCCACTGCTGCCACCCCGGCCCCGGCCCCGGTCCCGGACCCCGGGGAGTGGGAATGGGTGTGCCCGTGCGCCGGGTCCACTGCCAGCCCGGCAGCCCCGGCGCCCGGCGGCAGCGGCGGCGTGGTCGCCTCGTGGAAGGACGCACCATTGCTGTTGCCCGGGGCCGACCCCCCTCCGGGGGACCCGCCACCGGTGTTCATCCCGGAGAACTCCGAACGCAGGGCCTCCAGCTCGTCGGGGTAGGCCGCGGCGCTGGCCGTGCCGGCGGCACCGGCGGCACCGGTGGCACCGGCAGCACCGGCGGTGCCGGCACCGGCGGCACCTGTCCCGGCAAACTCCCTCCGGAGGAGCTCCAGCTCGTCCGGCTCGTCAGCAGAGCCGACCGCGCCGGCGCCCCGGTTGCCGTCGGCTGGCCCGCCGTGGATGCTGTCCTTCAAGTTGCTGAGCGACTGCTTCGAGGCCTCCTGGGCCTCGCGCTCCTCCTTGGCCTTGGCCTCGGCTTGCTGGCGCTGGCGCTCGCGCACCTTATCCACAAACTCGATGACCTTGTTCTGCAGGCCGAATGGGGGTGGGGGGAGGAGGGTGGGCCGGTGTGTATGCACAATGCATGGCCGGACGTGGGCGTGTGTGTGAGAGAGAGAGAGAGAGAGAAGGGGAGAGGGAGAAACAAAGAAGCAAGGAGACGACGCTTGCACGGGCCAATGGAGGCTGGAGAGGCAGCGATGCCGAGGGGCATGGCAAGGCAGCATGACGCACCCCAAGCTCCTCGAGGTAGCTGGACAGGAAGTCCGCTTGCTGCGGCACGGCAGATCGCACGGGAGGGAAGAGGCCAAGACACGGTTAGGCACGAGTGGAGGAAGGACGGGCAGCATGCGGCGCCGCGGAGACGCACCCGGCGCTGGGCCAGTAGACGGTTGACATGCTCATGTGGGAGGGTCATCTTACGGGCCAGGATGACAAGGCTATCCGCCCCCCGGGCGGTAGGCCACAAGCCGGGGAAGGGGGGAGGAGGACACCAGAGTCAGCGAAAAACACCGGGCAGAGAAGGGCACCGCCGAGAAACAGGGGGAAAGGGGGGCGGGGGAGAGAGAGAGAGAGAGAGAGAGAAAGAGGGGCGAGCAAACACCAGGGGAGGGCGCACGTCAGATGGCGGATGATCAGCACATAACCCTCCGAGTAGAGGGCCGGGGACTTCATGCAGATGTCAATGCGCCGGCCCATGGTCTCGATCGTGTCCAGCAGGCGGTCCGGCTTCATCTGCGACACGCGGTTCAGCTCCTCATTGGATAGCCGCCCGCGCCGGTTGAGATCCTGGATGATGGGGTGCATGTGTGTGTAAAGGGGGGGGGGAGGGGGAAAGAAAAAGGGAGAGAGACAGGGAGAAATACGAGCAGCAGGGGAGATGCAGGCTCAAGATCGGGGAGGGGATGCCGGGTGCCGGGGCTCGGCGGGCGCAGGATCGCGGACGCGCAAAAATGCCGCCCCCGCGCGCGTGTGTGCGTGTGTAGCGCGGCGCTCCCGGCACGCCTTGTCGGCCCCCTCCGGGACAGGGCGCCTGTTCCCCACAATGGTCAGTCAGAGGGCGCGCCTGCCAGCGAAGAAGCCGGTCGCCGGCGGGGCCTCGCCCAAAAGGGAAACCGGGCGCCACCCGAGGCCACCCGAGGCCACGACGGGCGCAGCCGGGCAAGTATGTATGTCTGGGGCATATAAAAAACCCCGTCAAAGGCCCCATCGTCTGGGCCGGCATCCACGGAAGAGCCGGGACCCCGGCCAGTCAGCTCCGCCGGAGCGCGGTCCCCCTCCCCCCCGCCCCGCCCCCACGACACCAGGGCACCGCCGTCAAAGACAGCCCCAGACCTGGCGAGACCCGACCGGAGCCGCAAAACGCTCTATCGCTTGCGGGGGGGATGGCAGGACGGCATGCGCCTGGGGGTGTGTATGTTCCCCCCCGAGAAACAACCCCCCCAACCCAAAAAAAAAAACAAAACAACACCAAAGAACGCACGCCAACGAAAACCAAAAACACAACAGAAAAGAAAACGAGCCCAAAACCACACCGTGCGGGGCACCGCCCCCCCCCCCCGGCGGCGGCACATTCCAGGCCTCCGGGCATGCGCTGATCACGGGAAGCATCAGCTGCACGTCTGCGGCCTTATTTGAAAGGCGTGCTCGCAGAAAAAGAAAAAAAAGCCCCACGGCCCTCCGCCGGAGAGAGAAGCACCGGACACGCCCGCTTTTCTGTGCGGGCTCCCCGCCCCCCGGCCCCCGCTCCCGCCCCCCCCCCCCCTGGAAAGAAGGGCGACAGAGAACGTGGAGGACGCCACAACGTGTGGTCGTGGGAGTGGCTCCGTCGCGCGGCCCTCGGACGCACACCCACACGCACGATGGCCCAAACCGAGAGGAGGGGGCGCGCAGGAGGCACGTGTGTCCCTCCCCCCTCCTGCCGCGCACACGCAAGAGGCAGCAGGGAGAAAGGGAGAAGGGGAGAGAGAGAGAGAGAGGGGTGTATATTTTGTAATATAATTCACAGGGGGAGGGGGGAAAGAAACGCGCGCAGGGGGGGGGGGGGGACGCGCGCGCGCCACATCCCAGAAGGCGGGAGGAGACGGGATGTGCTTGTCGTGTTTGAAGAGCCGTTGTTCTCCCTCTTTTTGGCCCGGATCTCCCCCGGCACTTGGAGGCGCGCGTCTCGCGGCGCGGGGGCGCGGGGGCGCGCGCACGCACGCACGAGACACGATGCACAGAAAAGGCAGGAGGATAATATTGGCCCGGGGAAAAGAGCAGACACCAGGGGGGGGGGGGAAGGAGGGGGCCGCCGCGCAGGGATGCGCACGGATGTGTGTGTGTGTGTAAAGAGAGAGGGGAGTCGCCACTGGGGAGGGGGAAAGCAGCATGTGTATACGCGCGCGCGCTGCTGCCGGGGGACCCCCGCACACATCGCGTCGCCTCGCTGCCGTGCGTGCTGGTGCACAGCCGCCGGGGAGGGGGGGGGGGCGACACGCGCCAGAGGCAGAGAGAGGCAGAGAGAGAGAGAGAGGAGGCCCCCCTCCCAAGGCTCCCTATACTAGAGGGGGGAGGTGGTGCGGGGTCTAGGCCGCGGGGCGGGCGCGGCGCGGAGAGAGGGGCATCGCGCGCGCGAGCGGGATAGGCCAACTTACTCGACGAAGCCCTTGCCCTGGTAGCCGGGGCTGGAGATACCAGTGTGCACGCTCATGTTGTTGGCCTTGGCATACTGGTTGCTGGCCTCCTGCCACTCGGGGGTACGAGTGGGGGTCTTGTTGCGCTCCTTGCCTGTTGATCGTGCGCGCGCGCGCACGCGTGTGTGTGTGGGGGGGGGGCATGTGTGAGTATCTTCCTTCTAGCCGTGGGGCGCACCAGGGTGCGGCAGGAGGGCTCCCTTCGCCGCGCGGAAAAGGGAGAGAGCGCAGACGTACCGAAGGCCATGGTGCCGTAGAAGGTGGCGACGGAGGCGCCGATCAGGGCAAAAGTGCCAAGGAAGACCTTCATGCCGTCCTTGGTGGGCTTGGGCTCAGAGCCGAAGGCCAGGAAGTAGAGGTCGCGCTTCTGGCCCATGGAGAGCTTGGTCCAGTCGGCGGTCTGGAGCTTGAGGAGCTCGGCGGAGGCGGCCTCGCGCTGAGCCAGGGTCATGGAGGCCCAGCGGGACTCGAGGGAGGCGACGGTGGAGGTCTGCGGGGGGGGGGGGAGGGTGGCGAGAGGGAGGAAAGAGGGGCGCGGTGAGACCACACATGGCGCGGTGGGGGGGGGAGGGGCGGGAGGAAGCGCGGCGGGGCGCGACACGCACAGTGGAGGCCATGCGGCGGGGGACGGCGGCAACGCCGCGGGAGACGGTGGAGAGGCGAGCGAACATCCTGCAAAGACACACGCAGGCAAGGGCGCGCACGAGGGGCCGGAGCGGGGGGGAGGAGGCGATCACAGGGGGAACAAGAGAATCAGTATGTGTACAGGGGGAGGAGGCGAGGGGGAGGGAGAGAGGGAGGAGGGGGCATTGCGCGCGCGCGCGCGGTCACAAGGGCAGGGGGATCGGCATGCGCGAGTGGACGCCGGCACGGTGCGCGCGCGCAACGACAGGACACATAGTGCGCGGTGCGCGCCTCCCCGGGCACGCCGCCGCGCGGGGGCCGACACGGCCACGGCGGCCATCGCCAAGGACCACACCGAGGGGTGAGCAGCCCCCAGGGCGATGTGCGCGACGGCGCGGGAGCAAGCGGGGAAACACGGCCCGCGGACGCGCGCGCGCTCGCGTGCTCCGCCAGACTGCTGCTGCCAGCGACCAGGCGGGCTGAGCCGGCCACCAAGCGGGCGGACCCTCGCGCGAGCCGGAGAAAAGAAAGAGAGAGAGCGCGCGCGCGCGCGCGCGCGAGGTGGACGAAGGACAGGAGGACGGAGTGGCGAAGGGGCGGGCGGAGAATGCAAGGGGGAGGCAGAGCGAGGCGACAGGAGAGGAGGAGGGGATATGTACTTGGTAGTGGAATCAAGGGAGAATACCAAACCAAACTGTTGGGTGGTGTGCCGCCCGGGCGCTCGGACCGGAGGGGGGAGCCCGAAAAAGTCGTGACCCCTTCGAGAAAGCGACGCAGTCCTTCGCCCCCCCCCCCCCCCCCCCCCCCCCCCCCCCCCCCCCCCCCCCCCCCCCCC